CAAATACACATTTGGGACTGCCCCTTAGCAAGCTCTGCACAGAGGGTCTGACAGACACATCTCATGAGACTGTGGGCATGTGACACCCATTTGCTCAGAAGGAACCCTGAAATCTTGAGGTAATAGGAAAATTCTTATATCAGTGAAAATATGTATAAGCCTACATTTATCTGTCTCTATTTAAAAATCTGAGCCTAAGGACAATGAGAGTAGGGGGAGAGGAGACTTCAATGTGTTTATTTTATGACTTCATGGATTGAGTATTTGTGATATTCAAGCATTTGGATTAAAATATATATTTGTTAAAGAAAGGATCATAGTCCTTACATGGCTGCACAAAGAACATTTTAAGTTTTAATAAGATTTTGATTTTGATTTCATGACTAAGATATGAAAGGAGGGTTAAAAAAAAAAAAAGACGGGAAAAAAATGGATAGAGCCAAAAAATTTAAAAGGGAGAGGAGGTTGAAACTTACCTTGTTTCATCGATATAAACTGCTTCCAACACAGATGCTGCATATTCAATATTCTTCTTTAAGTCTACAACATTAACATCACCTTTTTCCAGCTGCTTCACCAAGCATCTTAGTCTATTTCAAAAAATGGCCAAAACAGAGAGAAAAATAAAAAGATTTATTATAACTATATGGAAATTAGCTTGCTATTAAATATACACATTGAGTTATGTTTTCAATTTATCTTTGCAGGTCATAGAAATATTTTCAGGTATTTTGGGTATAATCAAGATCAGTCTTTGTCTCTTAAACAACAAGCAGAAATTATATTCACCTCTCAATAATATTAGGTCTGTAGGTTGCCAGTTTAGATACCATATTTCAAGGACAATTTTTCTGAAAAGTCAAAACAATATAGATGTTTTCATAAAACTATTCCTAACACTAGAATGTATTGTATGGCTGTTTTGTTTCCTCAGAATTGGCACTAAGAGAATATTTAAAGGATACTCTTTTTTTAACATTTTTTATTGATTTATAATCATTTTACAATGTTGTGGTAAAGGATACTCTTTTGATTACTATTATAGCAATTATTCACTGTGTATAGCAATAAAAACAAACATAAAAGGAAAAAATCTGAGAAAATATAATTAAGATGAGAAAAAATATATGTATGTATGCTTAGTGTTTTTACTGCAATGGTTTTTCATCTGAGGCAAACCTGTAAAATACTTTCTCTTGTTTTTGCCCATAGGATGATGTGTAACAACTGTTTGAGAAATTTTAAAGCATGTGTGGATTCCAAAATTCATACAGAATCAAGGAGCTAGAACAGTCAAAACAAACTTAGCAAAAAGAACAAAGTTAGGGGATTTACCCTACTTCAAGACTTATTTTAAAGCTACAGTAATCAGTACAGTTTATAAATGGCATAATATAGTGTATTATTAGCACCAAAATAGTTCAATAGATCAGTGGAACAGAATATAAAGTCTAAGAATGAGCTGTAATGGAAAAGAATCTGAATATATATATATATATATTCTGAATATATATATATATATTCTGAATATATATATATATATAAAACTGAATCGATATAAACTGAAACCAACATTGTAAATCGACTAAACTTCAATAAAAAATAAGAATTAAAAAAAAACAGACCCACAAATATATAGACAATTTATTTTGGAAAAAGTTGCAAAGATAATTTAAAGAAAAAAGGATAGATTTTACAACAAATAGTACTGTATCAACAGAAGTTTCTATGTGTAAAAGAAACTTTGATCCATACATGCATCACAGATCTAAATGTGTATCTTCAAACTATAAACTAGAAGAAAATATAGGAGAAAATCTGACAAAATATGTGCAAGCTCTATATACTGAAAACTACAGCTGAAGCAAAATAATAATAAGATATAATCAAACAGCTATTAGAATGACTAAAATTAAAATAACTGATCATACCAAATATTGGCAAATATATAGAGCAATTTAAACTCTCATACACTGCTGCTGGGAATGTAAGTAGGTACAATCACTCTGGAAAACAGTTTCTTAAAAAGTTAAACATGTATCTACCATATGACTCAACCATTCTATTCTTTGGTGGAAAGAAAAATAAACATATGTCCTTAAAAAGACTTCTACATCAATATTCATAGCATCTTTATGTGTAATAGCTCCAAACTGGGAACAACCCAAATGTGTTTATCCACAAGTAAATGGAAAAACAAATGGGCATATCCACCCAAAGAAGTTCCACTCAGCAATAAAAGGAACACACAATTGATACACACAATGACATGAGTGAATCTCAAATAATTATGCTGAATGAAGTAAGACGTGTGCATGCTATATGATTCCATTTATATAAAATTTTAGAAAATGCAAGCTATTCTTGCAGTGGCAGGAAGCAGATCAGAGGCTGGGAATGAGGAGAGGAAGGAAATTACAAAGGAGCTCAAGGAAATTTTGAGGGTAATGAAAACGTTAATTTTCTTGATTGTAGTAATGGCTTCATAGATGTATACATATGTCCACACTTACCAAATTGTAAATTACAAAATGAAATATGTAATCAATAATTTGAGATTAAAAAGGATATATGTTAAATAGATGCTTCTGTTACATATCTGTTTTTCATCAGTTTAATTAAAATATTTAAAAATTTAATATATACTATCAAAGACATTAAACAAAATCTAAAGCAGCATTAAACTGTTAATGATCTCTCTCCAAAGAGAATGATGCTAATCTTTGATAATTCATAAGACTTTAAAAATCAGCCTGAATATTATGTACTGAACACTCTTTGATGTTCTTAGCTTTTTGGAGGGACTTCCTCAGCATCTAATGAACAGAACACTTGAAAGAAGACAGAAATGAAAATAGAAACACCATCTTTGAAAATAATTGATTGGCTCTGTGATTTAATCAAACAGTTGCAGAAGAAAAACAATTTCTACCTTTGAACAAAGAGTACTGAGCTGTAGAAAATGATTATTTTTTTAATCCAAATATAGAACTGCCAGCTTCCAAATGAAAAAATACTCAATATAAAATGATGTAGTTTTCATAATCTTTACTTCATATACTCTGTTTACTTTCTAAGATACCACTGCATGATCCTATCTTGCAAGAGGACCACCTACATAACTAAGAATATTCTCATACTGAAAAATCCTGTGTGTCTATTCATGTCTTCATTAATTCCAAGCTAAAAATTCCCAGGATATCTCTAATGTTACAGAGCATGAATGGTATATACATTAATAATTTAAATTTAAAAGAAAATTGATAATCATGTTCCTATCAATGTCCCCATTTTTGACCTAACTGAAATACAAAAGTGAGAAGGATATGGTTTTAAGAATGCCATTCGACAAAGGAGGCAAGAATATACAATGGAATAAAGACAGTATCTTCAGCAAGTGGTGTTGGGAAAACTGCACAGCAGCATGTAAAGCAATGAAGCTAGAACACTCCCTTACACCATACACAAAAATAAACTCAAAATGGATCAAAGACTTAAACATAAGACAAGATACAATAAACCTCCTAGAAGAAAATATAGACAAAACATTATCTCACATACATCTCAAAAATGTTCTCTTAAAAGTCTACTCAAGCAATAGAAATAAAAGCAAGAATAAACAAATGGGACCTAATGAAACTTACAAGCTTCTGCACAGCCAAGGAAACCATAAGTAAAACAGAAAGACAACCTATGGAATGGGAGAAAATTTTTGCAGATGAAACCGACAAAGGCTTGATCTCCAGAATATATAAGCAGTTCATACGACTTAATAAGAAACAAACAAACAACCCAATCCAAAAATGTGCAAAAGACCTAAACAAGCAATTCTCCAAGGAAGACATGCAAATGATCGATGGGCACGTGAAAAAAATGCTCAATATCACTAATTATCAGAGAAATGCAAATCAAAACTGCAATGAGGTATCACCTCACACCAGTCAGAATGGCCGTCATTCAAAAATCCACAAATGACAAATGCTGGAGAGGCTGTGGAGAAAGGGGAACCCTCCTACACTGCTGGTGGGAATGCAGTTTGGTGCAGCCACTGTGGAAAACAGTATGGAGATTCCTCAAAAGACTATGAATAGACTTACCGTATGACCCAGGGATCCCATTCCTGGGCATATATCCAGAAGGAACCCTACTTCAGGATGACACCTGCACCCCAATGTTCACAGCAGCACTATTTACAATAGCCAAGACTTGGAGACAGCCTAAATGTCCATCAATGGATGACTAGACAAAGAAGAGGTGGTATATTTATACAATGGAATACTACTCAGCCATAAAAACCGACAACATAATGCCATTTGCAGCAACATGGATGCTCCTAGAGAATGTCATTCTAAGTGAAGTAATTCAGAAAGAGAAAGAAAAATACCATATGAGATCACTCATATGTGGAATCTAAAAAAAAAACAAAAACAAAAACAAACAAACAAAGCATAAATACAAAACAGAAACAGACTCATAGACATAGAATACAAACTTGTGGTTGCCAAGGGGGCGGAGGGTGGGAAGGGATAGATGGGATTTCAAAATTGTAGAATAGATAAACAAGATTATACTGTATAGCACAGGGAAATACACACAAGATGTTATGGTAGCTAACAGAGTAAAAAATGTGACAATGAATATACATATGTTCATGTGCAACTGAAAAATTATGCTCTACACTGGAATTTGACACAATATTGTAAAATGATTATAAATCAATAAAAAATGTTTAAAAAACAAGAAGCAGAAGAGGTAAATCTAAAGTAATATCTATAGCAGATGTTAAAACTGACATTAAAATATGGCCATACACAGGAGTGCACAAAAACACACAAATAGGGACTGTCAGAACAAGAAGCCACAACATCATTTTCAGTAAGTCCTACTTGCCTATAATTTGAACATGATAAAAATGATAAGAAGCCATTAAATAATGAAATGGTTTTGTTTACTTTGCAGGTCAATGCTTAGGAAATTAAATCCTCATCTTAATCTAAGAAGAAAGGTTTAAAATCTTTTTAAGATACTTTTTTTTTACATAGGCAAATATAATTGAAAGCTCCTTGATACCTTTATTTTATAGAATAAATAATTTCCAAAACAAATGGTATCATTGAAACAATGGAAATAATTGTATGGCAAATATTATTGTCTTTTAAAATACATTTACATTCTATGTTTAAAGAAGCAAAACAATCCCACTGAAGTGGAGAATATACAATGGAGAAGTATGTTTTTAAGTACAAAGAAATATATAATTATTTTCTCTCTTCTCCTAAAATCACAATTTAGGTTAACTATCACTTTACTTATAGAGTATACCTTTTATTACAGAAATGGGCATTGCATAATTCCCCCTTCCAAAAAACATTACATACTTAAATAAATATGTGATTAAATATATATTTAAGTACATGAATACATAATACATTCAAATATATTTATAAAGTATATAAATATATTTATTCATAACATTGTTTCAGAGAGGAAATATTTTTATGTATTATATATATACATTTAAATCTATGTGTTCTGATGAAGAAAAAGTAGTGACCTTCACCTACTAGTATTTATTTAAACCAGGGAAGAA